GGAACTTCTGTTTGTGAAAGACAAGCTTTTGAAATTATACAGAGCTCTTCTTCGGGTCTGGGAAAGGTACTCAGTGTGTCACAGCTAACTACAGTTTATTTAGCCTAAAGAGTAAAACACGTTTCAGGAGACCATTTAAGAGGACGTGGGCAATTAACACGTCTTCTGTCATAGGACATCACCTACAAAAGACGAGCCTGGGAACTTGAATTTATAAAATCATGCTATCAGAAATATTGGTTTCATGATTACAACAGTCCGGTAACTCACTAACCTCCTTTGTCCTGTGACTACAGAAGTGTTAATTGCCTACTTCCTCTTATGCTAAATAATTTGTCACCTTGTATCTAGCTGTGACACTTGTCTGTACCTTTCCCAGACCTGAAGAAGAGCTGTGTTTTAACTCTGTCTCGTTCACCCCAGAAGTTGATCCAACAAAAGATATCACCTCACCCACCTTGTGTCTCCAATATCCTGGCACCAACACGGCTACAGCACTGCAAACAATGTTGTAATGATTGGTTTTATGTTTGATATTTACATGGCAAATTTTTGCAAATCTATTAAAACTTCCTAAATTAATAGTAAAAGAAAAACAGAGCCCTTCATCCTCATACCGTACTGGAAGAGTAAGTTATAGGAAAGGCCTATCCTGTCAAATTTCTTCAATATTGTAGTTGAGAAAGAAGGAAGATGACATCCTTAGTGCTAACAACGAGGAGTCCTTGTGGCACCTTCTGATGAAGCGGGTTCTAGCCCACAAAAGCTTATGCCCAAATAAATGTGTTTGTCTCTAAGGTGCCACAAGGACTCCTAGTTGTTTTTGCTGATACAGACTAACACGGCTACCACTCTATGATGTTGTATTACTCTGAGCAGTTTTCTGTGTTTAACCAGTTTTGCTATGGCCAGGGAGGAAGGAAAGGGTAGATTTTTGATGGGTAATGGATTGTTGGCTAGGACAGCTTGTAAAAGTGAAACCTGTCATCCTTAGCACTGTATGCTGCAGTTTTCTACCTCTGGTTTCCAAGTAAATTGAAAAAGGGTAGTAGCGCCCTCTGGTGGGTAAAGATAATAGAAACAGAACGGATACAAAACTAAACTAAGAACAGTGCTCCTACCTGGCTATATCTACATCAGAGGGTCAGAACATATCTCACTTGAACGAGACTGTGCCCTAATTATATATTTGGAATGTATCAAAGTGACAAAGTAATGACCTCAGAGAGAGATGCAGTGTTCTTCTGTTCATCTCCCCTGCAATGTTAGAATCCTCTGATTCCTTGTTAACTCCTCCAGGATGTCAGAGGGAATTAGGGGAGGGGGGGTGTCCTGCTGCAAACCTTGGAATCACCAGACTTGGAGAACATTTAGGCTAAGGTTTACATTTAGTTGGTGGCAAATCAGATCATAAAGTGACACCTCAGGAAGGGAGGGTGTTGGACTGTATTTGGAGCTGGATAAGAATGTCACTTGCTTGCAATTACCTTAGCTGGTTTTGCTTCTAATCCTCCGTGGCAAATGCATTGCGGCCAGTTGTGCATTCCATTGAAATTGGTACGTCAGGTGTACTTGTGCTCGGCAGTCCAGCGAGTTTATTCCAGTGAGAGTGCCTAATGTTGCCAGGCAGCAGTGAGGGAGCTAATGACATATTGTACTCACTATGTTAGGCAGCACAGCAGGTGCTTTGTGCTGGATGTACTGGGGGTGTTTGGCAGCAGTCAAGAAGCTGTGTATAGCTACATTGTGGATTTAATGCTAGCTAACTACTTGCACTGAAATGATTAAATTGCTGGTTTAGTAATGTATTGAAACTAAAATTCAGTGTGTGCAGTTACCTGCTTGATATTTGTATCAATATATCTGAGTTTTTCTCCCAAATGAAGACTTGAGTCCCATTTTAGAGCCAGTATGGAAATCGAGTTGGCCTATGAGAGGCTTTGCTATTGTTAAAAGCAACAGAGAGTCCTGTGGCATCCGACGAAGTGGGCATTCACCCACGAAAGCTTATGCTCCAATACATCTGTTAGTCTTAAAGGTGCCACAGGACTCTCTGTTGCTTTTTACAGATCCAGACTAACACGGCTACCCCTCTGATACTTTGCTATTGTTGTTTTTTTAAGTGACTTGGTCAGAGGCAAACCTGTGATACCTGTATTGTTAACAGGAAGCAAACAGTGGGGGACGTTCTGAAGGGACTGCATCTCTAGTGTGTATAGTCTCCCACTTACTGTGCCTCCATGTTCAGTTTCTCTTAGTTTTGTATATAACAGAATTAACAGTGGAGAGGAGAGAATTCTGTAAAAAGATGCTTTCCAAAACTGGGTGCTGCAGATCTCATTCACAAAGGATGTGGCAGGGTGGATCAGAGGAGGAGGAGCGGGAAGTTGTCATCTCAGACCTCAAAGTGTCCAGTGGTATTTACAATCGCTGTCTCTGCTCCGACTTGTATTTAAAACAAGTTCTGGCTACGTGCTATTTCCACAGCCACAAGGAACCACGTGTAATAGCCAACCACCAAGGATTCTCTTTTGACATCAACCAAACAGACCTTTCCCTATAACTCCCCTGGAAGTAGAGAATAACACTAAAAATTATCTTGCTCCTAGCAGCCCGAGAGAGCGCCTGTGTTAATGGAAATCCTTTCTGAGCAAAAACATGAGACCTGCTCTGAATTCTAATGCAGAGACTTTGAATGGACACAGTTTTTCATGTACATTTTTTTTCTCCCCTCATTTCTTCCACACGTGCCTGCTCCCTATGTAGAACTTGAAGCGTGTGGCTGAAGTGTGGATGGATGAATACGCAGAGTACATTTACCAGCGTAGACCTGAGTACCGGCATCTCTCCGCGGGGGACGTGACTGCTCAGAAGGAACTCCGCAACAATCTCAACTGCAAGAGCTTCAAATGGTTCATGAGCGAGGTCGCTTGGGATTTGCCAAAATTCTACCCCCCAGTGGAGCCCCCGGCAGCTGCCTGGGGAGAGGTGAGTTCATGTAAGGAACTGCTAGGGTTGACAAGCCAGAAAGATCTACCAGGCTATTTTGGATTGTAATAATAGAGCTAATCATGAGCCCTGATACCTATTCGCTCCATTCCTATGAACAGACATTACATCTTTATTCATAAAGATCCTGTGCTGAGTGCGTCAGAGATCAGAATTCCTGTATGCTTCATTGGACTGGCCTGCTCAGGAACAGAGCAGACCCTTTGGCTGACCGATTCCATTAGCACATGATCATAAAAAGAAATTGTATCCTGGCTTGTTCTGTAAGATTTCAGTTAGTGCACCATTTTTTAGGGGAAGCAGCATAATCCAGTGGATAGGACATGGGATTGGGGAAGTAAGAATCAAAATAGAAATAAAACCCAGATGTCCTGTGAGACCTCAGTTAGCTTCTCTGCACCTCCTCTTTCCCATCTGTAAAAATAAGGGTGGTGGTACTCCTCATTGTAAAGTGTCTAGCCTAGGGATAAGAAGCCCATACATGTTAAGGCTTGTTCCCCTAATTATTATTAAATACAGGAGGTCCCGAGTATGTCTCCCCCTTATCTGTCATTTTGCGTATCCGTCGCTCATCCATAGGGGAACGTGGTCCAATTCACATTGGTCCCAATTCGCATATCCGTTGCTTGACCTTTTGCGTGGCTTTTCTTTGGGTGCTTCCCTGGCATTCAAGAGGTGCTGGGAGGGAAGGGGCGGAGGGGGGGCAGGAAGAGGCGGGGCGGGCCATTATTTCTTTTGGGGGGAAATTCCCCAGTATCAGTCGCCCTTTTCAGGAATGCAACCGCCAACGTATACCGGGGACCCCCTTGTAACAGGCTCTGCCGTCCTCTAGTGTGTGTTTTCTTTTAAGTTAAATGCAAGGCACTTACAGCAGATTACTGTGCTATGTACGGTCATCCCTATTTTGACTTACAAACTTTGTGTGCCTCTTTCCAGCTGTAACAATGTCAACTCAATTGTATAATAATGTAAGACATTGCACCTTTGTACTAATAGCTACCGTTTGAGGTAACTTCTTAAATCATTCTGCCTCTTGGCTGTCACTTGGACAAAAGTGTAACATAACTAATTAACAATTTAATATTGCAGATCCGTAATATAGGAACTGGTCTATGTGCAGATACGAAACACGGAACTCTGGGCTCCCCACTCAGGCTGGACACCTGTGTGAAAGGCAGAGGAGAGGCGGCTTGGAACAACATACAGGTAATCGAGTCTTCCTCATAACACATTTGTTTTTAGAAGGATCATGGTGAGGACAAGCAACATTAAAAATAAAAACCTTTGCCATGATCTAAATGAGGACCTAAAAATATCACAATGGCTTCACCTCTCTGGGTACTGAGGCACAATGCTGTGCCAGGGGAGTGAAATGTGGTCTGTGACCTAAGTACCAAATGTACTGATGCTGTTCCTAGTAGACTGCAATTGTTCGTGTAAAAGCAAATAGCAGGAGGGAAAGGAACTGGAGCCTGGAAGGCTCCTTGTGAAGCTTTCACCTTTTAGTCTTTGAAGGGTTGGGGTGAACAGAAGAGAATAACAAAGGGAAAGAATATACCCAAACAATAAAAGAAACAGGTAACAAGGCAACTGTGATATGTAACGAAGTGAACATTAACTTCAAAGCATCTGCTGAAAGAAGTGATAGAGGAACACCATACATATTGATGAACCTGCAAGCACGTTCAATAACCACTTACTATCGTTCCTCTGACAGGAAGCAAATGCATGATTAACATCCCAACCATTGCTGGGGAGAGGGATTAACCTGGCTGGGCTATCGATCCACCCTCCTGATGCATTAGGGGCGAGAAATGACAGCTTTATTGTAACGAGGGGGTGGGGGGGGATATTAGTCTTAAAATGTAGCAGCTGAGTTGAGGAAACATCAAGAACACAATGCATCTGATATGGAGCAATACATAACTCCTCAGTGAACTGGATTTGGTATTAGAAGATAAAGGTCTGTTGCATATCAATTTTGATGCAGGAAAACTGGAAATTAAACCAATTTACTGTGCGATTCAGTCCAAAAAGACAAGACTCCAACACAGGAGATCGGCCCAGGTTTAAAAACCTGTATATTAAGGACTGCAGAATACAGTGGGGTGAGAAAAACTGCTTAATCTAGTTGCTGCCCAGTCTAATAGGGTTGAGAGTTTAGACTGTGTGCTTATATTTTATTTCTTTTGGTAACTAACTGACTTTTTGCCTATCACTTAAAATCTACCTTTTATAGTCAATACATTTGATTAATTGTTTATCTTTACCAGTGAGTTTGTATGCAGAGTGAGGTTAATCAGCTCAGGTTTGCAAAGGCTGGGGTATGTCCACTTTCCATCATTGAACTGGGGAACCAATTAATAAATTTGCACTGCCCAACGGTATATTCCTGGGGTACAGTGCTGGGAGCTGGGGGGGTTGGTTTTGGTGCCTTTCTCTGGGTGATTCATGAGTGGCTCTGGGAGCATTCATGCAATCTAGCTGGGTGTGGGGCTCCCACAGTCCCAGACTGCACCCCGGGGGATCCCGTCACACCCATCTAGTGTCCCATCACCGGCCGCTGGAGATATTTGCTGCTAGCAGTCGCAGATTGGCTACGTGCCATTGTAGGCAGTTTTATCATATTGTCCCTTCCATAAACTTATCAAGCTCCGTCTTGAAACCTCTGTACCCTCCCACTGGGTGGCTCATGCTGCACCTAGGGAACCCCATGTGGCCTGAGGAGCACAGGGCTTGAATCTTAGATTCCCTGAGGCTCTGTGCAGGCTACCAGGGCAGATCATAGAACCATTATTAACAAGGGTGTCTTGTAGCTCTTTGCTGATTCTACCCTCTGCACTGTCAAGTGTTCTAATCAGTGAGTTGGTTATAAGCGTAATACTCCCACTGAGAGATCTACATACCAAACTGAGGAGCCACCAGACAGTGGAAGTGGCTTGTTTCTAAAAGAGTTCTTGACTTGCCATCCCCAGAGAAGTGCTGTCCAGCTGAGCAGTGCTATGCCCTGTGGGGAAACAGAAGAATTTCAGCTCTTCAATCTGGATGGCTTCTCTTCATTCGCGCCCATTCATCCCATTCTAAGAGGGTCATGTTTGTCCTGGCAGGTATTCACTTTCAGCTGGCGGGAAGATATCCGTCCTGGGGACCCGCAGCACACCAAGAAGTTCTGTTTCGATGCCATTTCCCACAGCAGCCCTGTGACCCTCTATGACTGTCACGGAATGAAGGGGAATCAGCTGTGGAGATACAGGAAAGTGAGTGCGTTTACTTAATGATGTGTCACGTCATTCCATGAACACCTGAGATTCCTTGTAATAACATGACTCATGTGGTGTTCTCTTGTGATTCATGTAGCTGTGACAAGAGAATTTATAGGAATCCATTGTTATTTAGCATTAATAAAAGCAACATGGGCAAGATGGGGTAAACATATCTTTTTTTCACCTACCTGAATGTAAAAGGACAACTTGAACAGCTCATGAGTAAGAGGGTATAAAAACCACTAGCTACAGGAGACCGCAAAAGCAGCCTGCTTCTCATGTTTGTTCTGCAGAGCCTGCCCAAGGTTGCACTTTGTGTCATAGTCTTGTTAGTGTTGGCACAAGAACCACATTTCATTGATGGCACAAGCAGCATCACTCCAGTGACTTCCATGAAACTGCATCTGCTTGCACCAGCTCTGCATCTGGTTCAATGTGGGCTTGTACACGAGCCCAGTACTTGGATATACGAGAGGCAGTGTAAGACCAACTTCTGTTCTTGCCTGATTGCAGATTGGTTTCAGTCAGGCTGCCATCAAGCCTGCCCCGCTTGCTCACAGATGTGCCAGGCTCCTTGTGTCCCCTTAACATGCCCTTATTAGATGGCGCTGGCTCCCTGCATCTTCGTTTAGAAATGGGAAGGAACAGCATTAAGTGTCATGCCAACAAGAGAGAGCAAGCGAGGAGACCCTCTGTTAAACCAGCTGCAGCGTCCACCCACAGCCCTCTGGCTGTGCAGTAATGCCATACCTGCCACGCACAAAGTTGTACTAGAGCGTATCAGGTTGATGTTTTAATAATGCGGATGCTCCTGCCATAAGCGGATGTGACTTATTAATTCTCTACAAGCAATGTTTGTGTAGCAACAGGTGAAGAGGTTTTTATTTAGAATGCTCATCTCCCACAAACTCCCCACCCCCACCCCCCATCTGTAATGCCTAGTGTGACTGGAGGGTAAACAGCAGAACGTGAGCCTGCAAGCTGAAGAATCTAGCTTTAGTTTGCTTTTGCTTTGCCTGGCAGATGTTGCAAGGGTTGGACTGGCTGCCAGTGGCAAGGAGAGGAAATGTAGACAAACACAGCCAGACACATGCCATGCTAGCATTTCAAGTATGCAGGCAGGGCTCCCCTGGAAATGTTGATTTCTGAACCGGTTCCAGCACTCGTTGCAGAAGTGATGCATTCTACTGCTCATCCAGAAAGCACTGAGAGAGGCAGACGGCAAAAGTAACATTAGCGTTTGCTGTAGAAGTGGGAGGTGGGAGATGTCATGGTCTCCCCAGGGAATGTTGGAACCCCACTCATTGAGAAATTTAAAAGCAGCCTGCACAAAGCACTATAAAATGGGAGGAACAATCCTACATTGGCAGGGGAATGGACTGTTTCTTAATATGTGGAATACCATAAATAACTGGTTAGAGCACCATGCACAAGTAAGAAACTTTCTGTCCTGAAGAGCTTACAGTTCATTAGATGTTAGATTAGATACATAAATCCTTTCCATTTCTAGCTCATGATTCCATGAGTTGTCTGCAACCAACAGCAGGTCAGGAGTAGGAGTCAAGGGTGAAAAAAGTATGCAGTGGGTAACATATCTAGTAGGGCGAGACCAAACGACGCGCACACCCTTCCGTTGAAAGGTTTGTATCGAGATGCTATAGGGCAGCAACTGGGTAAAATGGGCTCAGCCTTGTTTCCTCAGTGGGACTTTCCCTTTACTTCCCCGTAGACCCCCAGAATGTTCCCCAGTCAAGCAAATTGATTTTGAATTTCTCTTCCTCAGGACAAGACCCTTTACCACCCAGTAAGCAGCAGCTGTATGGACTGCAGTGAGAGTGACCGAAAGATCTTTATGAATACCTGCAATCCCTCTTCTCCAACACAGCAGTGGATATTTGAACACACAAACTCAACCGTCTTGGAAAAATTTAACAGAAATCTTGATCTTTAAAGACTGCAAATATATATATATTTATATATATATTTTACAGTTATAGTTTTTACCGGGGAGGGTTACAAAAAAAATGTAAAATTTTTTTTTTAAACAAACAAGGTAAAAGGGAGAATCTCAGGAGAGGGTGTGACTAGTTGGCCAGTCTTTATTTTGAAGATGCTGCATCTTTCTCTTTTTGGGGATGATGGAATTCCATGAGGCTTTACCCAAGTCACTTGCCTGTCAAGATGGGATCAGAAACTCTATTTTTAAAGGATTATGAACCTGGTTCAACCTGCATTTAGATCACGTGTGGTACTTTCCCAGATGCTAAAGCGTTCCCAAATAGTCACTTTACCTCCCAGAATCCATCCAAGCAAAACCTGCACTCAAAATTATAGTGCAAAGTCAACATAACAGTACCTGACACATACACTGACTTCTAGTGCATCAAAACTTAAAATGCAATAGAAAAATGAAAAGTGTACGTCTCTTCTGTGCACCAAACCAAAATATGCTAAAAGCAGCTTCGCCTCGTAATGCCTTCCAAAGGAATAGATCTGTTAACAGAAAACAGTTTCAGTGAACTAAGGGCAGCTGAGACTAACATTCCAGTGAGTACAAGTCACTGGTAGAAAAACCACAATTTCAGGTCCATGCACCTTCCTCTCTGCTACCCATTGTTGGGTCTCTTCAATAGAAAAATAGGAATAGAAAAAAGGTTTTCCAGGAAGGTGACAGCCTGCAGCTAACATAATTGTGGTGACTCTCACCACAGGTTCTTCGATGGCTAATATCAGAATGCACAGTCACTTATAGTATGGGGTGGCTTTAGGAGAGAAACGTTCCAAGGATCCTTGCCATAAAATCTACTGCATAGGAAAATCTCCAGTTTTCCTCTAGAGACCTGGGGCCAAATACACCCTTAGCACGAGCAGCTGCAATTCCACTGAAGTTGATGGATTTGAGACTGCTACCCAGGGTTTAATTTGGTCTGTGGTCTTCTGTGGCCAGCAGTCCATCTGTCTGAGGTAACCCCAGTGAGTGCAGGGCCCGTGCACAAGGCCATTATGCTCTGACAAATGACTGCATAGTTATCCTTCTGCTAAGATGCTGCATAAATCAACCAAACTTACCATTTGCCTATCATCACCCAGCTGCTTGACTTGTCCACCTATCCCAGCTCTGGGATTGTGAGGCATGCAGCAGCATGAGGGGCGGAAACGACCAAAGCACTGTCTTGGGAAGAGCAGGCTGCTCTCTGGGGCTCCTAAGCAGCACAGTAATGGATCTCTGCTCCTGCAGCGGCTTGAAGCTGCACATTTCAGGCATCTTCCCTGCTGTGTAGCTCCTAAGTTTCACAAGAGAGCTTTGCTCTCGTCAGGTTCAAGAGGCAGCTGCTTTGTGTTCCAGGCCTCCTCTTGCTCACCACAAGACAGTAGGTCAGCCCCTCTGCTGTTGCCTGCTCCCTGCTGCACCAGTTCAGGAGCTGCAGAGGTTATCAGGTGACTTGGTGATCTCTTAATGATGGTGCAGAATTGATGCAGCTTTGCCAGGTAAATCAGAGTGGGCTTGCTGCATGGCATGCAGAATCTCAAAAGTAGTAAACCCAGACTTGACTTCTGTGATGTTGCTCAGTGCAGCATTGTTGCAAATGATTCACATAGTCCTTTGAAGTCAAGCATTGCTTCCTTTGGAGCGGTGGGAGGACAGAGACTTGACTGTCCGTTGGGATAGTCCATATTTTTTCTGTGATGCCAGCACACCACAGCAAGAGATGCTGTACGAACACGACCAATGCCACACTGGGTTAACATTCTTTGATTAAAATATGATTTTATATGTTCTAAATATCTGTAACGTGTCTCTCATTAGAAGCACTTTTTAATACCACAGGGGGAAGCGCCAGTTTCCAGTACTTGGCAAGTAGCTGTCAGATGTTTTCCTTAAGTTATTAATGCTCTCATTAGTCTGGTTGTACTGACTGTGGATCACTAAATGGCCCGACTAGATGTCTTTATGAATGTTTTAATACCTGTGGAACAAGACGCTGTACATGAAGAGCACGAGTTTATTATAATTGGAACACAAGGTCAGTACATGATCTGTTGATCATTCCGCTGCAGCTAGCAGTGCTGTAACGTTAATGCCTGCAGTTTAGTTTTCCACTTCATTAGGGGATCAGCTTCTGTTTAAAATACATGGCTTTCTCTGTACTTGGACTCACCTTGTGAGCAAAATTTTGGACACTTTTAGCTGTTCAGCATGTTGGACACACGCTTCTGAGATTATTGGTCATGGGATAGGGAGCCTTTGATATCTAGGTCAGTGATTTGACTTTGGCTCAAGGGGAGTTGTTTGGCAGCATGCACCAAAAGACTAGGTGATCTTAATGCAGTTTCTACTTGACTGATAGTGGTCACAGGACCACTATCACAACTGGCACCACTGCTGCCCGGCTCAGCACAGAGGCCAAGAATTGAATGGGCCAGGAATGCTTTAATCTCTTTTAAGGGTGGTCTCTCCAGGTCAGTTGCAGTGCTGTCAATCTGGTTCATTTCACAAAGTTATGGATTTCAAAACATGAATGTCCCATGAATTCAGTGTGCCTATGTCTGATTGTCTCAGTGGTGTTCCTTGAGCTATTATTTTACTTACATTAATTATACATTTCAATGCCCCAGAGGCTTTGCTGACTAATGGGAAGTATTGCCATAGTCGGCCACCTACTGATTGAGAAATAGAAATTATATTTCTCAATCTTCATCTTTAATTGAGCTTTTGCTGAGCAATCAGGCTAATTAGTCCATTTATGTTTAGTTATTTATAAGCAAAAATCACCAAAGCATGAATCCATAAACAAATCCTCACATTTGCATGCACGTCAAGATCAGGTCTCAAACGCCATCGATTACCTATTGGAAAATGCATGCTTTTCACATCCAGATAGTTTTCAAAACTGTAATTTAAAAAAAATCTCTGCCCCTAGCTTCATAAATTCTCTAGTTTGTGGCAAGCCTGCATATAAGAATTCTGAAGTACAGTGGGATGCTGTGTGGTGTGTTCACGTACATTTCAATACCCAAAATGCGCTTCCATCTCTTGCCTATTTCATAGTGGTGTTAATGTCTGACCTCTGTGAGCAAACTACCTGGGTTTGAGCCCTGCATGAGTGCAGGGAGTTTTCCTGCAGGCTTTGGCAACAAATCTCTCCCCCCCCCCCCCCCCCCCCCCCCCAGTGGAATGTTGTGTGAGGTTTAATAAAAGGGGAATACAGCATCGTTAAAATAAAGATGTGCCTTTTTAAATGCAAATGTACAGCAAATGCCTAAACTTGAACCATTTCCTAGTGCCTTGCTGGACAAGAGTGAAGTGGGCTGGGAGCAGGATGTACAAGAGAGTTTGATGCAGTGTGCAATTACCATTCTGGTGTGTGGTTTTGTTTTTAAATGTCTGATTTTTTAAGTACAAATTTTAGGACGACAGAAGGTAGATGCAGGGGCTCCGGGGTTTCTTATTAAGAGTATCTATTAATGGCTGTGCTTTTCTTCACACTCAGTATGAAATCTGGAGATGGACGCCTCAGTCTTCTTCGAGTGGGTCCCTATTGTATCCATTGAGGGTTACGCTTGGGACATAGAGTAGGAGTTCAATTGACGTTAGACCAGAGGATTTCTTGGGCTGGTTGCTGTATGTTTAATCCCTGATAAAGGCACATATAATATCTGTTTAATCAAGGGAACAGCATCCAGGAGTTGACAATTCCTACTCAATGTATTCAAATACAGAGCTTTTCGTAAATGGTTCCAACAGCATATCAGAATCTAAGTGAAAGGATAATGTGGTAACTTCCATAAACTCAACACCATGGATCAGTGGGGAGCAAATCTGTAATACAGAAGTAGCAAGAAAACAATTCCTTAGCCGCTGTTCTTACATTCTGTGGTAATTTATACCTATGTAATGCCAATTCAGCAAGTTTTCCCGCTTGCCTCGCTGGACGTCTGTAGTGTTAAAAAATTAATATTGGAACTTAAATGAGCACTGAGGTTTCACAAGTAACTGGTTATTGGTACTAGCACAGTGGAGCTCGGTGCTCCTGCAGCTACCACCGTATCGTTATGGTAATTGCACGTCCTTTTAGGAGTGAGGAAGATCACGTAAGAACCATGTGAAAAGTCAGAATGCATCACTGGGTGAAAGGAGAGCAGTTTTCATTTTTGTCTTTCTTTTGAGATATGAGCAGGATGTTGAAATGTTTGTGGTTGCGGTGTGTGGACAGCTTGCTGCAGCCAGCCAGTAATACATGGTATCAAATAAAACTGTGAAGGCTAACAGATCTAGAACAGTCCATGGCTGTAGGATTGGCTTTCTAGTATATGAGATTCAAACATGCGTGTCATGCCACACTTTCAATCTACCTGGCTGCTACATTCTCATAAGCAGATCAGTAATGAAATACACAAGTCACATTTCAGAGTTAACAGCCCACTGCAAATGGGGCATTAAGTGCCCAAGCCAGTCATTACCTGACATATAAAAACCAGCGAACCGGTTGTCATTTCCACTACAAAAGGATTGTTTAGCATCAAGTGTTCTTAATGTTTTGTATTTTGTTTAAAATAAAACAGATGAATATTGTGGAAAGCGAGTTGGCAAAGCACTGTTAACCAACAATGAAGAGCTTGAGGCTAATTTCTGTGATATCCAGTGTATTTTTAAAAATAAAATAAACTCCTGTTTTTTTACAGGGGAGGCAGTGTGGGCTAGTGGGTAAGGCTCTGGACTGGGAGTCGGAGATCTGGGTTCTATCCCCAGCTCTTCTGCTGACCTGCTGTTTGACTTTTGGCTTCCCCTCTGTGCTACGTTTTCCTCGTCTGTAAAATGTGGGTAATGTATACCTTTGGTAAAGTGCTTTGAGATCTACAGATAAAAAGCATTATGTAAGAACAACTTAATATTGTAATACACATTACAGTTCTTCACAGACAAAGCTTTGAATCAAATACAACATTTCCTTAGGGAAATAGGGTAGTGAGTCAGGTATTGGAAAGTTGAGAGATGAAGATTCCCACCAGCATGGAGTACTTGTTTTTCAGTTTTAAATTCATTTCATTTTACTGATTAACCAGTCAGATTGCCTTATCTAGATGTCACCCACACTAACTGAACTCACACTCCACTTGTTCCTTTGTAGTGAGATCCATGTATAAAACTAGACCATGACAGATTTATGAAAATCATAATAAAAGACCTTTGTCTAGTTTTTCCTGTGACTCTGCCTTTGCTAGTTGAGTAGGCTCTTCCTTTATTCACTTTGTGTTCTGAGCTTTCCTGATGCTTCTGCATTACCCGGAAGGCTTCAATGATTCCAACCGATGTGTGGTTTTTCATCGGGAGCCATGCAGGTCTTAAAACTGCTCATTCAGCATTAGGAAGGAAGCTCTGATCCCAATTAGCAAGCAGGCAAATGTGAACTTGGCTTACAAAAATGACATAGAAACTAATCAATTCAACAGACTAAAACATTAGCCCTTAAAATAACAGTAACAAATAGCTTTAGCTTTTTTAGGATGGGAGCCCCAAGGTATCCGTGATACGGTCTGAGTTGATTCACTCCTTGTACTGCGTGCATTTTAACTTATTTACTTTAAAACTGGATGGGATAGTGCCTCGTAAACCAGTGTACATTTATTTCTGGGCACATTAGGACCACACTCCTAATATCTGGGGACGGTAAAGGATGTTTAGCACTTTAATGTAGTAGCTTTCATAAATTGGAGTCAATCAGAGATAATACATAGTGTTTTTAAAAGTTGAATGGACTTCCTTTTATAATATTTAAAATAAATTTTTAATGTTTTTCTGAAGATCTGTGTATGCAGAAATTACTCTCCTTTTTTTTCTTTCCTTCCCCCCCCCCCCTCCATCCCCCCCTCACTTCTTGTGAGAACAAAATAATTATCCTGGTTCGGGACTTACCTGGAGCATAGCGAGTTTCCCATCACCCCACATGCTTCCTTCACTGTGCACTCTTGTCCTGCTCCTCTGGGATAGTCACTTTAAGCTGCCCTCCTGCCGAGCAACATTGGAGTTCAGTCTGCCCCACACGCATGGACCCACTGCCAAGCTATAGGCTCGCTCTCCATTGACAAGTGCTACGGGTCTCTTAAGTTGGCAAACTTTCCTGGTAATCGAGGGGTGCTAATTCTGGAGTACTTTAAAAATGGGTTTTGAAGGCTGCATGCTGTAGAGTCCCACAAAGGAAACTGAATGGGACGTTGTCATGGTTAGAAGGTCAACTGTGCTTTAGAGACTAACAAATTTATTAGAGCATAAGCTTTCGTGGGCTACAACCCACTTCTTCGGATGCATCTTTTTGTGGATACAGACTAACACGGCTGCTACTCTGAAAACTGTGCTTTAGACTCTTTTGCAACCGCCTTTCCAGTGCACCCCTCGGATGACAGACTCAGCTTCCTTCCTTCAAGGTGGAACCCCATGGTTCAACCACTCTCACACTGGACCTCTGGTTTCCCAGCCATGTTAACATAACAGACCTAACTATCTTTGGCATCAGTGAGAAACTTCCCTCCGGGACATGTGGCCAGTAGCTGATTAAAGTGACACAAAAGAGTTCTAAAAAGAAAAGTGGTGTTTGTTCACCCAAAGGTACGTAGCCATCAAAGGAGAGGGTTAAAACAAACGCCTGCACATCTGGTCTGACATAAACTTCACGCTTTCCTCCTAGTTCAGGAAGCTTCTGCTTAACCCAGATACCGCTACCTGTGGGCTGAGAGAGACAGACTGTCCTCCTGCAGTCGTTGCCTGTCTCTCCTGCATCATCTCCCTACCAGCGGCTGCTGCCAACTCACTCCCCCTCCCTTCCTCTCTAGACAAGGGTTTTTAACTACTTAATGTCCTTTTGATTTTAGGCCCCTGCCCTGGAAAATATGCCCTGCCTGGAACCAGGCAGGGGGGCATTTCCCAATTAATAGCCCACTCATTTTTCTTTTAAGGACCCTTGGCATTTTCTCTGGAGATAAATTATCTCTAGACATCATTTTGTTTCCTGCTTGCTCTTTCTAACAGCCCCTTCTTATTTAACTCTATGCAGGCAGACCGAATAAAATCAAGCAAGTAAACTGAGGTACATATAATACAGATATCTCCCTCTCTCTCCTCAGATGCAAATACTCCCAGAAAGAGGGATGAAGTTTTTCAAAGGGATAGCAGACAACATGCAAGAGATAGTACCTGGATAAGTAAACAGCCCCTTTTCTATGCTGAATAGGTCTCCAGATGTATGCACGCTGGCCCTAGGGCTGGTGCATGGAATAATCTACACATAGGATGTGTCTGTCAAAGGCACTGACATAATAAAAGGCTTTAAGCGATGACCCTACCCAAGCCCCAACCTCCTCCCTATTGGAAGTACGTCAAAATGTATCAATCGAGCATGCTCACCACTCATCAGAACTGCTTTGGGGGAGCCAGACCTAAACCGAACATATATGCTCTACTCTCAGGGCAAGCAAAGAACCTACCTGAACAAACTAGCTAAACTGCATTAAATGGCCAGGAATTTTATCCTTTCAAGATTACTCCACAGACTTGGTCTGGAAAAGGAAAGCTTTCTCCAGGGTTAGCAGGAGGCTAAGGGTACAAAGCACCTGTCTTGCTCTGATATATCCACTTTTTCTCACTCATGCAGGTGGAGGAGGGTGGTGAACTAGTCCCTGATACAAATGAGTCAGGGGAATCTTATGCCTAACGTTCACTTTTAAAACACGTGGCGTGGGCAGTATCTTCCCTGGCTTCTTTAACTGTTGGTAAGGAGATCAGAACCCTGAGCTCTGCTTAGGCTTGGCAGTTCATAGCCATAACATCTCTGGACTTGCTGCATCAGTTATGAATGTAAAAACAATTGCTTGAGTCCATAGCTGATAAAATTCCAGATGCACAATTTCCAAAGTAGGGATCTGTCCAGCAATACAATCAAAGGGATGCATTACTCCGACAAGTTTCATGAAAAGTTAGCTGGGATATTGACTGAACGCAGCAGTTCTAGATTTTTACTCCAGTTCCTTATCCACATAGAGGTAGGTAGCCAACGTTAACCTCAATCTGAAAAAGAGCAAAGAGTCTATCAGTTGTACTGGTCACCAACACTTAATATGGATAGAAAAACCATGGCTAAAAATCCAGCAACAGGCTAAGTGA